TAAGAACTAATTTGTGCTTCTCATTTTATTTGAAGATGGAGCCCTGACAGCAATGTTTGCTACGGCCTCCTTCTGCAGTCAGCCTGAAGCAAGGAGCTTAAGGTAGACAGGGCAAAGCTAAAATATTCCAAAACAGTATTATAAAAAGAAAATAATTTATCTTCATATAGGCTCCAAACCCAATGTAGAATGTATGGATTTTGTTGTACTAAAGGAAATACACAAACCCTACTAAAAAGAATGCTGGCCATGCACGGTGGCTCACACCTATAATCCCAGCACTTTGGGAGGCTGAGGTGGGCAGATCACTTGAGTTCAAGAGTTCGAGACCAGCCTGACCATGGTGAAACCACATCTCTCCTGAAAATGCAAAAATTAGCCAGTGTTGTGGCATGTGCCTGTAGTCCCAGCTACTCAGGAGGCTGAGGTGGGAGGATCACTTGAATCCAGAAGGTGGAGGTTGCAGTGAGCTGGGACCAAAAAAAAAAAAAAAAGAATGCTATGGATATTAAGCGACAGAAGTACTAGAAGTACTATAATAGCAATGCTTTAAAAGGGCATATGAGTTTATAATCATTTTGACATCTTAGATTTTAATGTAAGCTAAAATGGACGAGAAACAAAAAGCAAAAATTCTTATGTCCAAGTGCTCCACATCTCTGGAAAAAAAGTTCTTTGTTATTTTCCCAGGTTATTATAATAATGCTAATTTACTTTTTTAGTTTTTTGTTACTCTCTGCATCCAATAGTGCTATAATTTTCTTTTCTTTTCTTTTCTTTTGAGATGGAGTCTCGCTCTGTCACCCAGTTGGAAGTATGGTAGCATGATTTTGGCTTACTGCAACCTCTGCCTCCCAGGTTCAAGCGATCCTCCTGCTTCAGCCTCCTTAGTAGGTGGGATTACAGGTGTCCGCCACCATGCCTAGCTAATTTTTGCATTTTTAGTAGAGATGGGGTTTCACCATGTTGACCAGGTTGATCTGGAACATCTGACTTCAAGTGATCTGCCCGCCTCAGCTTCCCAAAGTGCTGGGAGTACAGGCGTAAGCCACCACGCCCAGCCTCTAATTTGCCTTTTTAATAAAAAGCGGGGAGAATATTTTTTTCCCATAACGTGTCACCAAATTCCTTTTTCTCCTTTTGCAATTTCCAAATAACACTGGGAAATCACTCTATATACTCAATTCAATGGGGAGACATAGCATGCTGACGTCTACATAGTGTTAGAAATAAAAGCATGGTGGCTCATGCCTGTAATCCCAGCACTTTGGGAGACCCAAGACAGGTGGATTGCCTGAGGTCGGGAGTTCAAGACCAGCCTGACCAACATGGAGAAACCCCATCTCTACTAAAAAAAAAAAAATACAAAATTAGCCAGGCGAGGTGGCGCATGCCTGGAATCCCACCTACTGGAGCCAGGCGAGGTGGCGCATGCCTGGAATCCCACCTACTGAGGAGGCTTAGGCAGGAGAATCACTAAAACCCTGGAGGCGGAGGTGTGGTGAGCAGAGATTGTGCCATTGCACTCCAGCTTGGGCAATAAGAGCAAAACTCCATGTCAAAAAAAAAAAAAAAAAAAAAAAGTAAAAAAGAAATATAAGCAATATTCCACATCATTAATGAAATTACAAATTCATTCCCACAAGGAAAGATCCAAATGGCTAGATGCTTGATCTGAATCATCGTTTCTTGTTATTTTCATGGTAACATTGCATTTTGTTTAATCACACACGGTATTTTATGGCACTGATTTACGCAGTAGACATAAATCATTGTGTCCACCTGCTACATACAATAAAACCCCAAACCAAAACGACAGTGGTAATAACCATCACCCTCCCTCTTCCCCCTCAAAAAACCAAAAACACTTTCTCCAGTGCTAAGAATTAACTATTAACTATCATGCTAAATGCTTAAGGCTTAGTGCGTATTTCAAAACAACTGAAATCAAACCACAGCTTTTCTTCCAAATATACCTATACAGAGCAGATAATCGGAAGCACACTCAAAGTGTCGCTGTACCCCTCCCCTTCCACTGCCTGTCCATCTTCTTCACTTTTGGTATAAAATTTAGAATAACAGTTAAGAAAATCAATAAAACTGCCGAGGAAATTGGTGTTTGAAGAATTTTTCACAAAATCAGTATTTCCCAAATAAACTTTATTTTGCAAAGAATATCATGATATAGTCATGTAAATTTAAATATGGCACATTGAGCAGTATTGACGCAAATTGTATAGTCACAGCACCACATAATGATGGTTCGGTCATCATACCGTATACATGATGGTGGCCCCATAGATTATAATGGAGTTGAAAAATTCCTGTCACCTGATAGGAATGTCTTGATCCTGACCCTGCATAGGCCTAGGCTAGTGTGTTTGTCTTTGTTTTTGACCAAAAAGTTTAAAAATTCAAAATTTAAATAGATAAAATCTTAATGGATATATTTTTGTATAGCTGTACAATGTGTTTGTGTTTTAAGCTGCGTTATTACTAGAAAAGTCCAAAAATTGTTTTTAAATCAAAAAGTTTCTAAAGTAGAAAATTTACAGTAAACTAAGGTTAATTTTTATTATTTCTATAAAAATTATAGAAAAAAAATTCTTTTTTTGAGACAGAGTCTTGCTCTGTTGCCCAGCTGGAGTGCAGTGGTGCAATCTTGGCTCACTGCAACCTCTGCCTCCTGGGTTCAAGAAATTCTCCTGCCTCAGCCTCTCAGGTAGCTGGGACTACAGGCATGTGCCACCACACCTGGCAAATTTTTGTATTTTTAGTAGAGATGGGGTTTAACCATGTTTGCCTGGCTGGTCCATCCACCTCAGCCTCCCGTAGTGCTGGGATTACAGACGTGAGCCACTGTGCCCAGCCAGAAGAAAAATATTTTTTATAAATTTCTTATAGCCTAAGTGAACAGTATTTATAAAGTCTACAGTAGTGTATAGTAATGTCCTAAGCCTTTACATTCAGTCACCACTGACTCATCCAGAGCAACTTCCAGTCCTGTAAGTTCCATTAATAAGTGCCCCATACAGGTGGTGTCACTGTCACCCAGGCTGGAGTGCAGTGGTGTGATCATGGCTCACTGCAGCCTTGACATCCCAGGCTCAGGTGATCCTCCAACCTCAGTTTTTGCATTTTTAGTAGAGATGGGATTTCGCCATGTTGCCCAGGCTGGTCTTGAACTACTGGGTTCAAGCGATCCACCTGCCTCAGCCTCCCAAAGTGCTAGGATTACAGGCATGAGCCACTGCACCCAACCAGGTGAACCATTTTTTACAAAATCTTTTTTTTTTTTTTTTTTTTTTTTTGAGACGGAGTTTAGCTCTTGTTACCCAGGCTGGAGTACAATGGCGCAATCTCGGCTCACCGCAACCTCCACCTCCTGGGTTCAGGCAATTCTCCTGCCTCAGCCTCCTGAGTAGCTGGGATTACAGGCACGCGCCTCCATGCCCAGCTAATTTTTTGTATTTTTAGTAGAGACAGGGTTTCACCATGTTGACCAGGATGGTCTCGATCTCTTGACCTCGTGATCCACCCGCCTCGGCCTCCCAAAGTGCTGGGATTACAGGCTTCAGCCACCGCGCCCGGCCTACTATATATTTTCATAGTATCTTTTCTATGTTTGGATACACAAACACTTGCCATTGTGTTACAGTTGCCTACAAGATTCAGAACAGCAACATGCTATAGCATAGGAGCAATAGGCTATATACATATCCTTAGGTGTGGAGCAGGCTATGCCATCTAGGTGTGTGTAAGTACACTCTATGATGTTCTCACAATGATGAAATCACCTAATAAAACATTTCTCAGAGTGCATCTCCATCGTTAAGCGAGGTATGACCGTACATGTAAAGTCACAGTTCATGTCTGATTATTCCCACTAATGGAAGGGTACAAAACCAAAAAAAAAAAAAAAGCAGATAACTGAAAAACAACCATAACTTGTGCTTATGTTTTCATTTTATACTTGTGTCTAAATATTTAGATGAGAACTGATACAAATTCACAGGTTTTTAAAAATGCTTCCTGAGGTCTGTAATCCCAGCACTTTGGGAGGCTGAGGAGGGTGGATCATGAGATCAAGAGATCAAGACCATCCTGGCCAACATGGTGAAACCCCATCTCTACTAAAAATACAAAAATTAGCTGGGAGGGGTGGCACGCTCCTGTAGTCCCAGCTACTCAGGAGGCTGAGGCAGGAGAATTGCTTAACCCAGGAGGCAGAGGTTGCAGTGAGCCGAGATCCTGCCACTGCACTCCAGCCTGGTGCCTGGTGACAGAGCGAGACTCTTTCTCCAAAAAAAAAAAAAAAA